CTAAACCCAAAACCCTAAACCTCTTTCAGGGACTCAGGGACTCCGCCGCCTGCAGCCGAAAAGTTTGACACCAGCTCTCTCTGGCGCTGGGGGTTGTCCTCGGGCTGTGTCACTTTAGGGTTTAGGGTTTAGAGGTTTGGGGCTTGGGCTTAGGGGGCTCTGGGCGTTCGGGGTTTGGGGCTCTGGGCTGTTTTTTGTTGTTTTGGGGTTTAGGATCAAAGGTGTAGGGTTTCAGGATTTAAAGTTTGGCCCCTATACAGATGCAGGCCCAACTGTTCATACAGCATGCACTGTTACTGGTTGTAGCGAGCACTGAACATCTTGATACGGACCAGAGTATCTAGCGCCGAAAACCCCCGAACCCACAAACGAGCCGGCATATTTGCCAATAATAATAGCCAGGGTTCCTACAACAAATGGTACCTAATATGATCTATTCTATCATTCGGGCCCCTATAGGAGAGGTCTTTTGGCCTATCAGTTCTGCAATACCAAACTGTTGAACTGCCTGGGTTCCGAGGAGGCCCGCAGTATTCGGTAGTGGGACATGAGACTACATATATCAAGGCCCATATGGGTAGTTCTCTAAANNCCTGTTTATAACGGTGCCGTACTATATCGGGGACCTTCGAAGGGACCCTAATTTAGAGAACTACCCATATACTAAAGCCGGCAAAAGTCACCCTCATAGAACCCTTACAGCAACCCTTCAAACAAGTCCCAAACCCCAACACCCAAAACCCTGAACCCTGAAACCCTAAATAAGGCCCCTGTAAAAGCGTCATATGAAAGCCCCAAGCGCCAAAACCCTGAACCCTTAAACACTAAAATATACGGCCCTTATGAGCTTCGTATGAAAGCCGACACCCCAAAGCCGGTCGTTGAGTCGGGCCATGGATTCGCCCCCATGCCGCAGGTGTCGCTGGAGACGACGAGGATCCTGGCCCAGATCTTCTAATCTCTCTTCATTGAGGAATACCTACAGGGTCATACCCTACCCCTCTTTTAATATACCTGGTTTTATGGTTAAGAACTGCTATATAAACAAGTAGGTACCCTAAAAAAGGGGTAGGGTATGACCCTATAGGTAGACCATCCGGTAGGATCGCTGATATGATTCATGGAATACACTTCTCCCATGTGCTATGCTACGACTGATAGAGGCGTCGGATTACAAGTATGTTTCTACCACAACACCCCTACTGAAATGATGTAGGACTCAGCCCGTTTCTTGCCAAGCTTTCCTCAGCGCTTTCGCAGCCAAGTCTGGTTGCACTGCTTCCGTTGCTTTGTTGCTGGTAACCCGACACCTTAACATCGTTCGTGGGCCGGCTTGCTGCTGCGACTATAGGGCCACTGCAGGTGATGCCGCTGCAGCAAAATCCTCCTGAAGAGCCCAGTTCCGCGCACGAAACGCAAAAAACGGCAGCCGAAAGTCGGAACCCGGATCCTCCCCGAGCACCTCAAAACTGATTCCTGCTGGAACCGACTCCCGAAACCCCAAAAAACCCTCCTCTCTGCCGAGAAGCTCAGACGGTGCCCCGAGGTTGTAGGATTCCTTGGCGGCTTTCAATTTGTGAGCCCCCTGAACCCTAAATCCTAAACCGTGTGAATTTTTGGGGTTCAGGGCAAGGCCAAACTTTTCGGCCTTCCATCGGCACATCTATGACGACAAGGCTCGCGCATGTCTCCCGAAAAGTTGGCATCCTTGCTCACGCCCCGATAGCCTGCACAAGTGAAGCCAAGTTAGCGAGGCCTGACATAGGGACCTTAATCTCTCTTCTTGAACAACCAAGCCCAAAAACGTTCAGACTTTTTAGGATAGACCTAATATAGGGGCAAAAGTTCCAAGTTCTCCCATTGGCTATCTAAGTGATGATGAGAAACAATATAATTGTGAGAGCGAGCCCTAAAACACGGGTAATACTAGTTCTGGCAAGCTTCTTTTTGCGCAACAAGCCCAGCGCCCCTTAGCCCAACACCTAATCTTAACCCCTATAGTGGCAAGACGCCTTTCGCAATTCTGCGTCTTCTGCCGTTGCTACGGATTGCTATCAAACTCAGAACAGCATACTGCAAGACCACATTTGACAACCAGTTATCACAATGCCGAGCCGGCATGCAGAATCCAGTCCATTTCCTCATGGCTGGTTTAGGGCTGAAAGCTCGCATCCCTTGTCCCGAGGTCCAAACACCATCGACCTTGGCAATGCAAAGGTTGCACCGCAAGCTTCGAATCTTAGGCACCTTAAGGCCCGCCTGAACCTGTCGACGGTATTGATGCTATGGCACCGCTCTCTGCGTCCTGGCAGCAGTGTTTACAGGCTCTGTTCGGCGTTAAGGACTGACGACTTGACGGATTGAAGGTTTAACGTTTCAGGCCTCGCACAGGGCTCAAGGTCCATGACTTCTTACATCATAAGATCACATCTCACTCCGGACAGCACTCCAGAAGAAGCTGTTGAACTGAAACAATGCGATACTCTCTCTGGTGGTGCAATCAAAATCCTGAACCCAAAACTCCTAAACCCCAACCCCAAACCTCACCGGTGTCTTGCCCAACCGGCCTTCACCCAGTACCACAGTGCCTCCGAGTTGTCCAGCATCTGCTTTTCCTTCGCTGGCGACAAAACATTAGCCCAAATCCAGGAACGAGTGTCCTGGAACCGGCATCTTGCAAAAAAATATGCTTTTGTCGTCAGTCGTTACTGGAAGGAGAAGACACTTCACAATCTCTGCTGACATGAACCCTCGGGCATCGAGCTTTTGCGTGTTGCGCAAGGAGAACAACTTGTGAATGTTCAGCACTTACAGTAGCACGCTTCCAGACTTTGCATCCACTTTGGAACAACAACATCCAAACAACTAAATGCTCTATAAAAGTCCGAGACTAAACTCTCAGATGTGAAAGTTGCCATGACATCGAACATAGTTAACACGGAGAGGGGCAGAAGCGAAGTTGCGTCTAGTGCGCTGGCAGTTTCCACGGTGGCGGGTTTACTGTGAAAGGTGGCCCGGCGAAGATAGTGGTCATCGGGCAGGCCGACATAGGCACCAGCACCAGCACCAGCACCAGCACCAGCACCAGCACCAGCACCAGCACCAGCACCAGCACCAGCACCAGCACCAGCACCAGCACCAGCACCACCAACACCAACACCATCACCATCCCCCACCCCCACCCCCACCCCCACCCCCACCCCCCACCCCCAC